TATCTGTACATTTTTATTTCTTATCTGTATTTCTGAAAACGTGTGTAAGCAGGGATGTAGACGGTATTACACGAATCTAGATTAGGCAGATTTTGACTGCTTTTGGGCAATATAGGTATATACTAAGTTTCAGTCTTTCTAGTGTTAATATTTCACCTAAGATTCGAAACTCAATTAAACTGAACCAGTTTTGTCAGCGTTCAGTACATAGTTACACGTGAGATACATAAAGATAGATTTTGCACGACAGCGTGCTTTAATAGCCGCTAGATGATGGGATCATAGATTGGAAAGATGATAACCGTTGACAACGGAAGGCGGAGAGAGAAGGTTGTCTCTGACATAGGGATCATCGATATTGCTAGCCCAGTGTCTGTTCACGGTGACGTACCGTCATTGCCGATTACGAGAGACATCGCTGTCTGAAGTTGAACGGGAATCGAGCAACGTACGCGTGGACTGAGGGCTCGCGTTGATTGCTTTCTGATTAGAATTCGCATGTCAACGGTGACACAACCCGCGGTTTCAAGTGTAATTAGTGGGCCATTGGTAGTGTTGCAATCAGAGATTGGTTCTACCCTTATTCGCTCGTATATCTGTGAACGTATCGCACTTAGAATGCAGAAAATTCAGTCTTCTACATACAATTGCAGTTATTGCAAATTGTATTTGCTTAATTCATGCGAAATTTTAGTTCATATACCACATTTGTGATCGATACAAAAAGCTTGATTGGTTCTCAATAAATCAGCCCAGTGAATTTCCCAATCTCGTTTAAATACAGTATAATCTGTATCCAATCCATTAATTTAAACCTTATTATTAATCGTATTTGCCTAGTTGAATCGGTCTATCTATTTATTCATAGAATACTTCGGACCACTTGTATATAATACAAAAAGGTTGATTAGTTTTCAATGAACAGCACGGCGAATTTGCCAATCTCGTTTGTCGCTATTTTGCCAGGACCTCTAACGAACCATAAACGCGTTCCCGTTTCGC